GGTGAGAGAGGAGCAAAGGTTGTCCTCTGCTCGGCTTTTGCCGTGTCGGCAAGCTGTGGATGCTCACCGCCGGCGGTTTGCTGTTTTCCCGCTGGATTTTTCCCGTGGGTGATGGGATCCTGGAAATGTGCTCGGGATGAAGGACGACACGAGCTCGTGTGCCCTGGGAATAGCAGAGTTGTACACCAAGGACGTGGGGCCCCCTTCCCAAAGCTGCAGGGATTAGAGGATAGGGTTGGGAACCACAGGGCCACCATGCTCCTCGAGGTCAGCCCCTGCGCCCTGTGATCGCAGGGGTTCGGGGCCAGCTCTGCCCCGGAGCCCTCCAGCAGTTCCCAGCCAGCAATGCTGTGGTGGATCTGAGCCTAAGAAACCTTTTTTTAGGACACCTGTACTGTTGGGGGTGACGCTTTTCTCTCCCTTCTCCAGGACCTCCCTTCATCGTTTCCCCTCCGGAGAACATCACGGTCAACATCTCCCAGGATGCGCTCTTCACCTGCCAGGCCGAGGCGTACCCCGGGAACCTCACCTACCTGTGGTACTGGGAGGAGGAGAATGTCTACTTCAAGAAGTGAGTTTGTACCTGGCAGGGTGGAACGTCCTCCTAATCTTCCTCCCGGAACGTGCCGGGGCAGGCGTTGCCCTCAGGTCTCCCCACGATCCCCCTCTTTTTCTCTCGCAGCGACCTGAAGTTGCGGGTGCGGATCCTGATCGACGGGACGCTGATCATATTCCGCGTCAAGCCAGAGGATGCTGGAAGATACAGCTGCATCCCCAGCAACAGCCTGGGCCCTCGTCCCGCCTCTGCCTCCCTGACAGTGCAGTGTTAGTGCGGGCGGCGGGGCCCCATCCCGAGGGATGGGGCTGGGATCGACAACCCCTGGCTCTGACGCGGACCCGGAGGCTCTGTCGTCCCAGTATGACCCACAGGGATACTGGGAGGCTTGGGCTGAAGTGAAAGCAGCCTTTGGGTGGGCGTGCAATCATCCTCAGCGAGAGGCTGGGAGCGACCCACGTGTGCTTGTAGGGTGCAGCAAGAAGGCGTCCTGGGCAGCACCGCTCGGCCAGGACCGGTGTCCACCTTTGACACAAGTGGTTTCTGACTTGGTGGGCGTCTTCCCACCGCTGCTGCCGGCACGTTGTCCTCATCGGCTGCATCACGTCGGGCAGGGAAACACCACATCAGGGCTCTCGCTCTCAACTACCTGCTTGTATTTTTTCCCTATTACAGGGGCTTGTTCCCGCAGCTTGGTTTTCCTGAGAGCTCGGTAGCTTTGCGTGTGCTGTTTTTCAGGTGGTAACTGATCTAAGCAAGCGGACGAGAAGGGGCTGTAGCAGGAGCATTGCTTCCCACACTTGTTCTCTTGGGCTCCCCGGGCGGTAATGGGTAGTGTGCCACCGGCGTCTTGTGGCATTCGACAGTAATGGCCTCAATTGCTGCCGCTCGCAATTGCAATATTACTGTGCTGTAAAAGACTGCAGCGGTTTTATTTTATAATGAAAGACAGGCTTGAGCAAACCGGGCTCCCGACTCGGGCTTTGAAGGCTGCCGTATGGCTGGCCCCCCTGTATCA